ATTCCGTCATATACCTTTTCCATCTGATTTGTTGAGGAAGGTGGACACTCTCCTGGCCCCGGCAGCCAGCCCCCACGTGGTGTCGTGGCACTTGAGCCCCACGCCTCTCTGTATGAAGGGCCCTGCCGTCTCAGAGGCTCCTCTCTGGCAGGCCCCAGGAAAGGATTTCCACCAGCCGCCCCGTTTGGGGGGCGCCCCGTTCCTGCTGGCTTCTCTGTCCACGTGATCCAGGAGCCCCGGGCCTGCCTGGGCCCAGCTGTGAAGTGGACACGCTGCCCTGCTCCCCAGGCCAAGCACTCAGGGGCAGCCTCCCCAGTCCTCGATGGGAAAGGGACCCAGGAGACAACCTTCTCAGTCCCAGTGCTGGGGTCTCTGCCCTGGCTGTTGTGGACTCTGGGGTCAGTGGAGAGACGGGGTGGCTTTGTCTTCCTGTCCACTCCCCAGACTTTGGTCCCCAAGTCAGGCAGCCTGCAGCATCACAAATGCCCTCCCCCTCTTGCTGAAGTGGGACCCTGCCACACGACTGATGGCTCACCTGGCCCCCGCCCCCCAGCCAGGGTGCATAGTCCTGGGGGCTGCATGGCCAGGAGCGGGGTTCTCACCTCTGACCGCTCAACCTGCCCCCGCCACATACCCTGACCGAGGGGCTGGTCTCGGCGTCCAGCGAGGCTGGCTCCAAACCCACAGGCCCGTCCAGGGCAGCCGCCGCCCAGCCCCCTCCCGGCAGAGCCATGCCAGGGCACAGTGTCCGCTGGACTCTTAGGGATGTTTTCAATCACTGATTCCAAAGAGGGGCTTAGCCTCCGGCAGCAGGGAAGCCAAGGGCCTATTTACAAAAGAGCTCATTTTACAGGTCCAGGCTTCACAGGCCCCAGTGCAAGGCACTCCCTCGGTGTCATCGGGCTCGCCCCGACATTTGTGTGGCTGGGCAGGGACTGGGGGTCAGGAGGTCAGGGCTCAGCCCAGGTCCTCACCCCGGCTCTCTGAGCCACCCTGCGGGAGGAACGACCCCTTGTGCACTTTCCATTCCCTCGGCAGCCATCGCACAGCACTGGATGGGGGGTGAGGGGTGCGAGTGAGAGATTCCCCAGGTACGGGCAGTTGTGGGCAGGTGGGACCCACGCTGTCCTCCAGAATCTGGGGAGGCTCTTCGACAGCCCTCAGCCCCCCAGCAACGAGAAGCCAGACTTTGTCTTTATTGTGGTGACATATACAGGACAGACGATTTACCATCCGAACCATTATCCGGCGCACAGTTCATTAAACACCTTCCGTCGTTGGGCAACCATCACCACCATCATCTCCAGAACTTTCTCATCTTCCCAAACGGAAACTCTGGAGCTACATTTTTAAGGTCTCTCATTTAACAGGTTTTTATTGAAAATCCCTGTGGTTTCTTTCTTTTCCTTAAAATAAATTTATTTATTTATTTATTTAATTTTGGCTGCATCGGGTCTTCGTTGCTGCGCGCGGGCTTTCTCTAGTTGCGGCGAGCGGGGGCTACTCTTCACTGAGGTGTGCGGGCTTCTCATTGTGTTCTCATTGTGGTGGCTTCTCTTGTTGCAGAGCACGGGCTCTAGGCGTGCAGGCTCAGTAGTTGTGGCTCGCAGGCTCTAGAGCGCAGGCTCAGTAGTTGTGGCGCACGGGCTTAGTTGCTCCGCGGCATGTGGGATCTTCCCGGACCAGCGCTCGAACCCGTGTCCCCTGCATTGCCAGGCGGACTCTCAACCACTGCACCACCAGGGAAGGCCATCCCTGTGGTTTCTTGAGGGAACACAGATCTGTAGGGCTCTGGAGGTGGAGACAGGAGGCCGTGTCAGGGAACATAGGGGGTCCTCAGGGGCGCAGGGGACCCCGGGCTCACGGGGGTGGGGGTGGGGCAGCGGCAGCGAGGTTGTGGGAACATCTGTGGGGTTTTCAAAGGGAATGTTTTTCCTGTGATCGGACGGGCCTGATAAACAGCGCATGCGCGTTCCTGGTCGGCAGGGGGCGCGGGCCGGGTGGAGGGGGCGTGGAGCGGTCGGTGGGTGGGAGGACTGATGGCTGAGGACACGAGGATGGCTCTGGGAGCGCCCTGGCTCTCCAAACCGCAGAGTTGAGACAGAAGTATGTGAAGCATGTGTGAGTCTCTTTCGAAGGCGCTGGCCCTCGGTCCACCGACCCCCTGGACAGACATCAGACAAATTACAAGTCTGCCCACAAGCACTTTGCTGGGAATCTTGTTTTTCTTCTTGAGACAAAAAGCAGATTTGCTGACAGATTACGGAGCAGAGGGCTGGGGTGAGGGGGAGGTCACCTGGGAGCACAAGCCTATTGGTGAAGCACTAAATCACCAGTTAATGAGGTGCTGGGGAACTGGATGAGTTTAGAGAAACCTCTGGAACGAGGGAAGGGCTGTGTGCGAGGCTGGCTCCTCCCCTGGCTACTGGGGACTGGACTGAGCTCCTCAGCCAGGGGGATTCTTCCTTAATTCCCTAGGAGGGGCTTATCTTCACTGTACAGCTTGGGAAACTGAGGCATGGGGCAGTGACTTGTCCAAGGACACATCCTAGTGAGTAACAGAGAGAGGATCAGGGCGGAGACCCAGAGCTGGCCCTTAACGCTGCTCCCCCCACGTTCTGGTGACGTCCAGAGCATCACTTACTACTGAGAGCCAGTATTCATATGGCACCTTCTCAGGGTTACTTGTTCGGCCTTTACAGCTGTATACAGTTGGAACAACAGACGTGATCACACTCATTTCACAGAGCAGGAGACTGAGGCCTGGAGAGACCATTTGGTTCATGTTATAGGCTGAAACGTGTCCCTCCCAAATTCGTATGTTGAAGTCCTAACCCTCAGAACCTCAGAATGTGACTGTATTAGGAGATACAGGGTCTTTCAAGAGGTGATTAAGTTAAAATGAGGTCGTTAGGTTGGACTCTAATCCAATATGACTGGTATCCTTACAAGAAGAGATTAGGACACAGACACGCACAGGGGAAAGGCCGTGTGAGGACACAGGGAGAAGACGGCCCCCTGCAAGCCAGGGAGAGAGGCCTCAGGAGAAACCACACTTGCCAGCACCTTCATCTTGGACTTCTGGCCTCCAGAACCGTGAGAGAAAACATTTCCATCATCTAAGCCCCGTGCTGACTGATACACTTTGCACCCAGTTCACACCAGGCCCCACTTCTCCCCGTGATGCCTGCTGACCAGGGTAAGGACGTCTGGATTCCCTTCCTCATGGGCCATGGGGAGTTTGAATGAGGTGATGCAGGGGACTATGCTTTTGAGTATGTGATTGCTACTGGGTGGACTACTGTTATTTTAACTATTGTATCGATAAAATACACCTGTATATGCAAATGTGTGTGCAGCAGAGTGGCTGGGAGCAAAGGTATCAGTGAGACCTGGTTTGAATCCTGACTGTTGTGTGACCTTGGGCAAGTTGCTTAACCTGTCTGCGTCTAGCTGTCCTTCATAGTGGTGATAACAAGCATATCACCATCTTGGTGCTATTGTACAGTAAGTAAAATTACACAGGTTCCCCTAGTGCAGAGCCTGGCATCAAGTCAGAGCATAAAGGAAAAGCTCCATCATCAACATCAACAAGGGGGAAAGGGGTGTGAGATTCTGGAAGCCTGGGGCCAGCCAGACCCGCTGGCCCCTCCCCTCCCCACTGACCCCTCCCCTCCCAGGCCTGATGTGGAGCTCTGAGGGTCAGACAGTTGCAGGGAAGAGCAGCTGAGCAGGGACAAGGGCATGGCTGTGGGCAGGGCCTCCCACACGTGGGGACGAGTGTAGCTGAGGTCACACGGAAAGCGCCACATCCCCGAATAAACGGGCAGAGAAAGGGAAAACAGGAGCATGGTTTTCAACAAACCCTCTTCTTGACTCACACGAGGCGAGGTACTCCGGGCTCAGAGATCTGACTGGTTTGCCGTTAGTTTTGTGGTGGTTTCTTTCTTTTTTTTTCTGCTTGGTGCGTGGTGGTGGTTATGCTTCTATCATTTACACGATAAGCCAGTCCAAGTTAGATGCAAGTTTCAGAAGGATTCAAGTGATAAATGTGGAGAAAAGGAAAGCATGTAATAACTTGAATACAATTGGAAAGGGTTCCTAATAATAAAAAGAAAGAAAAGTCAAGAAAAATCAATAAATCATTTTCCTTAGCACTGAAAATGTGTATGTGTAAAGCATACAATAACAGATAAAGATAAATTGGGATAAGTAATTGCAATATATGACAGATAAAGGCCTATTTTTACTCCAAACTACGGCTTTCCATCAGTTCTGTGGTGGTTTTCAGTTGTCGGTTGGGACGGTGAGCGCCGCTGCTCAGGATTCTGGCGGGCAGCCGTAGGCGGGGAGCGCGGAGTTACCTGGGCCACTCCCAGGATCCAGCAGGCCCTCTCTCACTGGGGACAGGAGGCTGGACACTGAAGTATGGGTGGGGACGCATCGGGGGCCTCTTATTCCCGGAAATCCCACTACCTCCCAGGCCAGGCTCCTTCCTCCCTCTCTCCTGGGCCAGTGTCCTGCAGAGGGCCCGGGCCACCGAGAAGCTCCGTGGATTCACCCTCGGGATGGAGAGAGCCTGGGCCCTGGGTGGTGCAGCCCTGCGAGCTGCGGGTGAGCAGATGCTCTCTGCTCCCTTCAGCCCTGAAATCTTCACCCCTTCAGCTTCCTCCTAAGTCTCCTACCCCTCCGTCCCCCCAGAGCCCACCTGTTCAGGAAGCAACTCCCCCTCGTCTTCCCCCAGTTTCTCTCTCCTTACAGGATACAAGGAGTGATGTGTCCCTGGGATCCAGCCACTCCTTTCAGAAGATCCTCCCTTATAAACTACAAGATCCCCCAGAGATGCAGACTCAGGACCCCTGGGTCAGGCCTGGCTGTGGAGTGGACCAGACCACGCGGCCTGGCAGCCCCTGTCCCTGATCAGGGAGACTAGAGCCCAGAGGGAGCCCCCACCTCGCAGCAGACCCCCTACCTCGCAGCAGACCCCCTTGGTCCCTTGCCCCGCCCCCATCACGCCTCCCCCGCTGCCCCTTTCTCCCCTAACTGGCCTGTGGGTGGGGTTCCTGGAAGGGGAAGCGCCCTGGCCCCATCCTGGTTCCACTGGGAGCTGCTCTGGGACCCGAGGTGGTGACTCTCCATGTAGGACACTGGCTTTTCACGTGTGAAGTGACAGGATTGAACTCCATGACCTATAGGTCCCTTCCAGCCCTAATGCTCCCCCAGCGGGTGCCTCGCAACGTCCCCCTCCACCCTTCCTGATCGGTCCCTCCCACGCCGGGGGGTCCTGCCAGCCCCTTGCCCAGGGCCTGGGGGCCCCCCGCCCGGCTGTCTCTTGGTCACAAAGGGCAGAGGAGTCACTCAGCGCTTGGCTTTTATGACGTTTATTTCCCACGGTCCGAGTCCCGGGCGGGCTGGGGGGACTGTCCCTCTCTCCGGGCCGCTCCTGGTCGCAGCCAGACACCGGCGGGCGGGCGGTTAGAAGAAGTTGGCCACCCGGCGGAGGGACTGGACGCGCGCGCTCTGGGCCTCCCAGTCGGAGAAGCTGCGGAAGTCGCCCCGCTCCACCAGGTACATGCGGCCGCGGTAGTTGGGCTCCTCGTACAGGACCCACCTAGGCCAGAGGGCGGCGGAGGTCAGGGCCCGGTGCTGAGCAGCGCAGGGCCCGGCCGCTCCTGTCCTGGCACCACAGCCGCGCGTGCCCTCCTTCCCCGCAGCCGCCGCCCCGCGCCCCTCCGCCCCGGGCCAGCCCTTCCCGCCCGTGACCCCATCCCCGTTCTTGGCTTATTTCTCCGCCCACCTCCCGCCCGTCCTTTCACTGCCCCGTGTGTCCGGGCCAGTGCTCGGTGAGACACTTTGCACCCAGGGGTGCTCAGCTGACATTTGAAACTGACCAGTCCAGAATGTTCATCACAAGGGCCAGAAGTGGTTCCAGGACGCACGTCCACTCTCATCCTCCCACTCCCCCGCCCACACACCCCACTCCTTCCTGCTCCTGAAAAGGGCTGTTTGCACAGACAGCACCCAGCACGTGGCAGGGGGCCTGGCACAGAATGGGAACTGATTACTATTCGTTCGTTCCATCGTTCAGCAAATGTGTTCCTGGGTCCACGCGTGCGCCCAGCCCTGCTTCAGGCCCTGGCGAGTCTCACATCAGTCAGACCACAGGTTCCTGCGGTGGGGTGAGGGGTGAGGGAGGCAGCTGCACGGATGAGGGAGCCCTTCCCTCCCCATCGCAGCTCCCAGCTCCAGGGCAGCTGCCAACAGGCCGGGGAGCAGAGACTGGCGACAAGGACACGGACTGGTCTAGGAGCACCTATGGCTGGGCTCTGGGCCAGGGCAGGAGAGAACAGGGCCGCTCATCACCAGAGGCTATGGGGCTGCAGGTAATTGGGAAGGTTTCTCTCTTGGAAGGGGCGGTGGGGGGATGGGGCTCCCCGAAAGTCGTCTCTGCCTGCGGACCGGAGGGCAGGGGGTGTGATCTGAGGAGAGGCCTCCGGACACGTGGGGAGCGTGGCTGTCGCAGCCCCGTCCCTCCACTGTCCCTGAGACAAGCAGGCAGCTGGGAGGGCCAGGGGGACCCCCCCCACTGAGCTGGGCTCTGGAGCCTGTGCTGAGGGGCGGGGGGGGGGGGGCGGCGGCGGGGAGCACGGCGGGCCTCAAAGCCAACTTGGTCCACACCCACTCTGTCCAGGGCGGCCCTCTCCACCTCACTCTGGCCTCTTTCTCTTTGACCACTGATAGAACACAGCGTTTTTCTCTGTCAGTCACGGAGGGGCTGGGGGCCTTGGGAAGCAAAGCAGGCCTCAGTCTCCAGGCCCCCGACAAAGGGGCTACACACCCAGGTCTGGCTGCTGGGGTCCCTTCTGGCCCAGGCCATGGGGTGCTCTGACCTAAGGGTTCTTGTCCATGGACCCCAAAGCACTCTGGTGCTGAAGGAGGTTTCTCCCCAGGAGACACATCCTCAGAATCTGTGAGCCCATCCAGCACAAGGCCAGCTGCCACTCACCTGCCACCACCGTCCCTCTCCTCCCCCGTCCCAACCCCACATCGGGAGCCTGGCACAGTCCGCTGAGGGTCAGGGGTTGGGCATGAGAGAGAGGTGGAGAGTGGGAGTGAGTGGGGAGCACTGGGCAGGCTGGGTCCACTCTGGCCTCTCCCCACCCCTTGCCCCGCCGGCCTCCCCGTGCCCACCGCATCCCCCACCCTGCCCATGACCTCCCCACACTCCGCGCACATGCTGAGGCCGTGGCTTGAGGCACCTCCCAGGGAGTCAGCCCCTCCCTCCCTCCCTGGAGGAGCTGGGAAGGACCCCCAGCAGTGTCCTGGGCTGCCCTGGAGCATATGGGCGTCCCCAAAAGGAAGAAGAGGAAGGCACCGGCTAGGCCTCCACGGGAACCCCTCACCCTCCCCTGCTTCCTGCCGTGGGAGGGAGGGGCGCGCTGTCCGCCGTCGGCACCAGGACTGCACCCTTGGGAAGTGGGCCTCGAGGTGCTGGCATATCTCTTCCAGGTGCCCTTCAGGACACGGGTCTGTGGGGACAGGCCATTCCTGAGCAACTTGGGACCCAAAGAAAATGGCTCCTGGCAGGTAGGAGGTGTGGGGAGACCCACCTTGCACCCCCAACCTCAGATGCCCGGAAAGCCCTCGAAGGAGGTCACGCCCACACTAGGGTACCCTGGGAGGCACCACTGGGCAGCTTTTCCTTGCCAAGGGCTTACATTTTTTTTTACAAGTTAAAGTCACAGGAGGCCAAGGACGAGGGCTCCATGGGGAGCGGAGCAGAGCCCGGGTCCAGACGTGGGACCCACTGCAGGCAGTGCCCTGTGGAGTCCTCGCCCCTCTGAGCACCATCTCCGCTTAGGTGAAGTGGGGGGTGAAGTCCCTACAGTCAAATCTTAGCTCCTACCTTCCTGCCTTTTTCTCTTAACAAGCCCCTGGAGTCCCGGGGGTGGCTGGAGGGGGACTGGGCCTCGGGGCTCAGGACACCTTCTACACAAAGGTACGACTCTGGCCTCACAAGACACAACTTAGCCAGCAAATGGTCGTTTTGGAATTCTACCCCCGGATTGCCAGATGCCATTGACTGAAGGCAAACCTGGAATTTCTGAAAGGCCTTTGGGTCAGGGGCCCAGGGCCCAGCAGCCAACGTCTGACCTCGCAGGGGAAGGTGGGGGTTCTTCCTCCAGCTCGGCCACGCCCCCTTCAGTCCCTCCTGTGACCACTCGCCTGCACCCTGATCCCGCGCCTCAGAAACACAGACAGCAAAGGGCTCCCGTAGCTGCCGAGAGAAGAGCCAGGCTCCCGGGACGCACGTTTCGGGGCTCTTCTCCTGGGACATGGGGCTGAGATCTGGGGAGACACCCAGCTCTAGATCAGGGACAGTCTGACTTGAAGCCAAAGGCCTGGCTGCAATCCCAGTGGGGCCACTCCCAGCGGGGTGGGGTAACTTTCTGGGTCTCAGCTTGCTCCTCTGTAAAATGGGGCAACGCTCTCCACTCAGCTGGGCAGATGGGGTGTGAGCAGGGGCTGTGAAACTGGCACAAAGGGTGTGCACAATGGGCGTTCAGATGCCCTTGGCTGGTGGAGGGAACCCGGTGTGCAGGAGTCGATGGAAGCACAGGGTTCTGACGGCTCTCTGGGGCTAGGGCGGACGAGCCCCCCTGGGCCTGGGGAAAAGCCTCCCAGCCGCTCTCCATCCCCCAGAAGTGAGCCACTGTGACATCATCTCCCCGGGAGGCCAGCGTGGCAGGGCGGGGCGTGTGGTAGGAGAGGTCCAGTTCGGAGTAAATAACGGGTGAGCATGTGGGCAGGGCCGCCCTTGCCAGAGCAGACTTCTCCCAGCTCGAGAAAACCAAAGCGCAGTCCATGAGCTCAGCCCAGTCACAGAAAACGGCTAGGGCTGCAAAGTGCCCTCCTGCCATCGAGGGGGGCCTTTGGGGCCCTGCGTCCCCTCACCATGGCCTTCCTGGGCCAGGGGGACAGATGGGGGAGGGAAAAGGTCTCTGGGCAGGGGACAGGCTGCCCCCCTGCTGGGGTCTGATCCAGCCCGGCAGGCGGGGAACTGTGGTCAGCGGCCACGCGGGTTCTACTCACGCGCCGTCCCCGTACACCTTGATGGCGTTGACCCAGTTCTTGGTCCAGCCCTTACTCTGAAGGAAGGGACAGTCGTCCTTGAACTCCAGGCACTGGCCCGTGAAGTTGCAGCCCTCGAAGATTTCTAGGCGGAAATGCTCCCCATGCTGTGGGCCCCCCACAAGTGGAGGAAGGAAAGAGGGTGAACAGTGGTGACGTTTCCCGTCATAAACAGGAGCCCGTGTGGGCAGGAGCTTGGACCCATCCAGCACCCAGGGCACCCGTGAGTTCCTGGGCTGGGGGGCCGGTGAGTACCCCAACCTCAACGCACGCCCCTCAGACCAGAACTGCCGCTCATTCTTGCGTATGAGATTTGGTTGGATGAAAGGGGTCTATTAGTTTAAAAAGATTCAGAGCCCCTGAACCAGTCCAGTCACTTCGTTCTTCAACTGCAGAACCCAAGGTCCAGAGAGGGCCAGATCTCCTGGGACAGCGGCCGCCCTCGGACCGGCCCGGGCCACTGGGCTTCCTCCTGCCCCAGACATACCACCGCATTCCTCTGCCCTTCACCCCCTCCTGGGCCACAGGCCACTGGCAGCCTTTAAATGATAATATTTTACAAACTGTAATAGAACGTTTATTAAAACACGAAGCCAAAAATCTAAAACAAATAACAGGGATCTCATTTGCTGAAATTCCTGCTGGCTCCCTGGGACGAGGACATACATCTCCCCGTAAGATTCCCCGTATTTCCAAAGACCGAGGTGGGCCAGCTCCCCACGGGCTCTGGCGCCGGCGGGGGCTGGGTCTGCGCCACAGCTGGCCCCAAGGACAGCTCTTCCGAGAACAGCATTCGAAAGATACCCAGGGTAGTTTTCATATAAATAGCATTATGCAAGATCCAGGGCCAGCCATGTTAATTCTTTTTTCCAAATGTCCGTGACCTGGTGGAAATCTTAAGAAAGCATTCTTACAATTTGAGAGGCCAACGCCCAGCTGGTTTTGCAACCCATGTAGAAAAGAGAGGGGTTTCCACACAGGAGGCCCCTCCCCTGGGGGTCCTCAGATGTCCATCCAGGAGAGGGTCCTCCCGCAGACACAGGGCCGAGACTCTCTGATAAGTTGTACACCCTGGTCTCGGGAACCAGCCATTTCCCACCCTAGCTTCCGGAGCTCACAGAAGGTCAGTTAGGACTTTAAGATGGAAAAATTCTAAGGAATGGGAATGCCCAGTCTCAAACCCTATACCCTGAGGGCAACATCGCCATGGGGGAGTGACACCTCTCATTGGCTCTCCCGCACGTACTGGGTGGCCCTGTGAAAAGGCAGCCACCTGCTGGCTCCTGCCCCCCAATTCCCGCTGCCTGGCCAGTGATACCTAAGCTTCCTCCGTCGGCCACTCCATTGAAGGCTCCTGAAAAGCACTAGAAGATGACCTGCTTGGGTGGACGCACCAGGACCACATCAGCCTTACTTTAGCTGAATGCTCCCCTATCTGGTTGCAGAGCCAAACCTCTCATGTTTTCAATAGCATTTTAAGTGGAAAACTCAGCAAGATTTTGGCATCAGAAATTGAAAGTGGTTTCCTGATACATGGCTGAAAATGCAGGAATGAAAACTCCCAGGGGCTTTCCTATTGGGTCCCCACGCATGGGAGTGGCTGGGTCTGTGTGGGGACATCTCTCGGGCTTAAAGATCTCACAGTCTCATCCGTTCCTAAAGCTGGGAGGGCCCTGCTCCCCCCACCCCCACCCCCCGATTACTCATCCCACGTCTAACCAGGCCTAACTGGGCCCTGGGTCACTCCAGCAGGAACCGCCCCCACCCCGGCCAAGTGGAGTGGCCCAGGCCCACTCACCATTCCAACAGGCCGACAGGAGCCCATGTGGTCGTTGTGTCTGTTCCAGAGGTAGAAGTCGGGGTAGTCGCCGTGCTCCAGGACGAACTGCTGGCCCCGGAAGTCGGGGTGATCGAAGCAGACCCAGGCCCCACTCTCCACACGGACAGAGTTCACCCGGTTCATAAAGCCTCGGTCTTGGAAGTTGTCACAGTCCCCGAAGACCTCCAGCTTCCGCCCCGTGAAGTGCTTGCCCTCGTAGAGAGTAATCTAGAAAGGCCAGGTTAGAGGACCCAGGAGTCAGGGGCTTCTCTCCTGTGGCCCAGCATCCACCACTGAACCCCAATTCCCAGGCCCTGGAGCCCCGACCTGCAGCATGCAGTAGGCACTCAACACTGCCTGTTGCCTGGGTGAGGGAACGCCTGGATGGCGGGTTGAGGTCAGACCCAGCACCCGGCTCGCCCCACCCCAGGAGGCCATGGTTGAGCAGACGGATCTCAGAAGATATGAGGGGACAGGGATTTCCCCTTTGTCCAGGGGCCCGTTTGAAAACGGTCTTTTCAAACTCCCACTGCATTTTTTAAACTCAATTTTTGTTTATTGTTAAAACATAACATCCAACGAAATGTTTCAAAAGAAAACACTTCACCTACAACCCTATAACCGAATATTCACTTTCCAGAAAGTCAGGTTTCCGAGACTGGGCCCCTTAACAGGAGATATTGAATCCAATGAGCCAAGTCAGGGCCTGGCACAGGATTAAAGGCTCCAAAGAGGGCTTTTTCAATGTAACCCCGTCCCTTTGTGTTCTAGGCCCCTCCTCTGGGTGACATGCATGTGTCAGACCTGGAGCTTTCTAACCCGGCGCTCAGTTCAGACACTGTGTCCTATGGTGATGTTGCACTGATGGGTAGTCCCTGTTCCCAAACTAAACATGAACCAGATGGTAACTGGACTTGCTGTGGTGATCATTTGATAATGTATAAAAAAATATACAATGTTATACACCTGAAACTAATAAAGTCTTGTTAGTCAATTGTACTTCAATAAAAACAAAACAAAACAAAAACAAACAGAAGAACCATACCAACCCCAAAACTCACTCACTTTCTGCAGAGGAACCGAAAATTCCAACTCTCGATAACTCTTTGGGTTTCAAGAATCGTGCTCCTAGAAGGGCCCTGGCAAAGTAATGTTGCCTGGGGCCCAGTAACTGTGGTCATGATGTACGTGTACTGTCACTGAGGGTAGAACTGCTCCTCTGGGCCCCTCGGAGCTAGGCGAGGCCAGAAGCTTTGGCCAAAGGGATGTGTGTGGACGTGGAAGCTTTGAACACCACGCACCACTTCTCGCCTCTCCCTTTCCCTCTGCTGATATCAAGGTGTCCCTCTGCAGCACAGAGGAGGGTGTGCAGACCACAGTGGAGATGAGCTCTCGGCGTTGTCGCTGAGGCATAACCCAGCCCCCGCAGACAGATACAGTAATGCTCTCACCCACTAACCTTGAATGTAGCCCCTGGAAACCAAAGGCAGTCTCAGCTTAGCTAGAATAGGGAGCCAGGGAAGGGGGTAGGGATCCAAACTTGCCACTCTTCCCGCACAAGGCAGATCTGATGGAGGGCTCCCCCCGCCCCAGATATTCAAGGACAACTGGTCACCCACAGGATTCGAAGGTCCCTCAAATTTCAACATTTTGCAGAGAACCTGCCCCAAGTGCCCCTGAGCAGATCCTGAGGAAGGAGCAGCCACATTCGAACAGCCTCAGGCAAAGAAGCGGGGCCCAAGGGCTGCAGGGCAAGTCGAGGATCCCCACTCCAACCCCGGCACCCCTTAGGTCTGAGCACTGTCCGGGCGCCGGGCTCTGGGGCACCGTCCCTGCGCTGGGCTCTGGGGCAGGGGCTTGGCGCCGCAGAGCCAGTGCTGGAGACACTGGGTGGAAGAACTCCCCACCCACATCACAGAGGCCCTCAGCCGGGGCCAGGCACCCCGTTTTGTTCAGAAATTTAGCCCACTCTGCTCGGGGTTGTCAGATGCAAAGGGCATCAAGCGGGTTGGCCGCACCTGTCCCCGGCCCCCATCCTCAGCACAAAGAGCAATGAGGGCGGGTGTCTGGGCCCCTGCGGTCACCCTGGGCGGCGGCGGACGGACGCGAGAGGTTAGAGTGGGCACTCACCTTCCCCGAGCGCTGCGCCATGGTGCGCCTCGTGCGCGGTCCCACCGGCCCGCGGGGGCCCCAGATATAGCGGGCGGCGCCCTGCTGGCTCAGCGCCGCCCCGACAAAAGATTTGCTGGGCCGGCGCGTTAGTGCTGTCGGGCGTGCTAAGCCCGCGAGGGGCCGCCCGGCCCGTGGGACCCAACCCGTCCCCCGCCCCCGCCCGGGGGTCTCCCTGGTGCTATCGCGCCCGCGAGCCCAGCCAGCCCCCAAGGCCTCCTCTCTCGCCGGCCCTGCTGAGTCAGGACTGGTGGGCCCCGCCCCGCCCCCCGACGCCTCTGCCCTGGGGTGGGGTTCCTCAGGCTCCCCTCGCCCTCCCTCCTCCGCACAGAGCCTTACCAGACCTCCCGCCGCGCGCTCTCCCACCCGGGGACCCAGGCTCACATTGGTACTGAGTTCGCTTTCTCTTTGAGTGAAGAAGGCTGGACCCCTGCTCCAGAGGGCAAAGAAGACAGCCCCTGCCCGCCCCCCTGCCCGCTGCTCTTGTCCATCCCAAGTTTGTGTACCCTACCCACAGGGAGGCCAGACAAACCGAAATGTTGGAGCTCGGCACAGAGGAGGGTTTCTTGCAAGGGGCATGAAAGGAGAACCGGCTGGCTCACGCTCAAAAGGCTGCAACTCCCTGCTGGGTTTCAGGGAAGGTTTTTTTATAGGCAGGGTGAGGGAGGGGAGTTGCAGGGTGTGAAGTGGTCCGGCGCCCGCACAAGTCTCTGCTTGGCTGCCGGTGAGGTAGTGGGGCGGTGTCAGGTGCGGTAGAGTGCGGTGGTGTCACAGGGGTTAACGTGATCAATCAATCGGCAGGCTCCAGTAGGCCTGGGGGCTACGTGCTCATGGTCATCAAGTAGTTAACTTCTTCCATTTGGTGGGGATTTTAGCATCTGTAAAACAACTCAGGAAGTGTGCACCAGATACTGTTATCTAGGTACTTCAGGGAGGAGCTAAGGATTCTGTGACGCCACATGGCTGATTTACCGTTCAAATTCTTACCAGTTCTCCTGGCCCCACTGCTCTATCACTACATGTTCACATCCTTCCACTCATTAATTCTTGAGCCAGGCTTTTGTGACTCAGGGGAGGCCTGGGAGACTTACAGCTTTTCTACAGACAAGAGTCAGGCAGAGACATGCAGGGGAGGGGTTTGTCAGGAAGGTCCAATAGGGTCCTGCTCTGTTACACTTCGGTCTTAGCTCCCAGCCCCACCTTAAATTTTCTGCTCCAGCAGCACCCTGGGCTGCCCCTACATCTCTATGCCAGGCTGTGGTCCTGCAGACTCCACTTCTGCTGTTTTGCCCACCAGAATGCTGTCCCTCTACCTCTGCCCCTCTCCGCCCAGTCCGTGCTCACCCTTGATCCGTTGAGGTGTCACCCGCCCCGACTCAAACCCCACTCGCCGGTGGGCCACAGTGCTCTGCACCCAGACCACCCTGGATGGCAAGGACGGGTTTACAGAAACACGCAGCCTCACCCCAGCGTGGGACTTTCTCAGGGCACAGACGTTCTTGGCACATAACAGAGGCTCAAAGATTGTTTGTGAAATGAACAGAGTCAACACTGAGGCCACAAGATGCGCACCCCCAAATTGCCGGGGGGATGAGACGTGCACGCGGAGAACAATGCAGGGCGGTTAGCTGGGGCAAGGGGCCAACCCTGAGCTCGAAGGAGAGAGAGCTCATCCAAGCCATGGTGACCCCAGGGGGCTTCACAGAGGACAGGGCAGAGAGGATGCGGGTGCGGGGAGCAGTCTGAGCTGTTCTTAGGAAAGAAGATTTTTATCACCGTTTCACGGATGAGACACTTCAGGTCCAGGAAAAGGAGGTCATGACAATGGAGGCACAGGGGTGACCTTGTCCCTGCTCTGGGAGGCTGGCACATGTAGTGCAGACACTACCACCTGCGTGTCACCCTTGCATCCAAGGACAGGCCTGCCAGGGGGCCTGGCCTGACTGCCATCCCCACGGGCATCCACACTGGCCAAACCACACATTCTAACGTTTGCTTCCGGACATGGGCCCTGCTGGGGAAATGGAAGTCAAAACAAAATCTCCCAACCCAGAGAGCCTGTCCATATAGGTTGAAGAGAGAGAACAGTTGTATTACTGACTAAGCATTAACCCAAGAGATGATGCGTCCCAGGCAATCTGCTACAGTGACTGCAGAGACAGAGAAGGCTCAGCCTTTCAGAGTCAGACAGACATACTCATTATGTACATGTTCTCAAGATATAATTTTCTCGTATCTTTATGCCCAGATACGAGAAAATTAATAGGCTTTGCAGTTCAGAGTAAGGTGGCAGCTGAAGTTAAGCCCCTCTCCTCCCCGGAAACTGGGAGGTGGGACATTATGTTTCAAACAGATAGCTCCCAGCTGCTACAGGAAACCTTCAGAGTATTAGACTGGCAAGAGGTTTCTTTAGCCATTAAAAAGGTGCACGTAACACACCACTGTAAAGCAATTATACTCCAATAAAGATGTTAAAAAAAAAAATGGTGCCCATACATGTGAAAAAGACAAAGAAATTCTGGAAGAAAAAGGGGAAGGGGAGTCTCTTCCCTTGTATTCACCTGGAAAAATTAAGCCCCTTATTATTTTTTTAAATATAGGCTTTATTTTTCAGAGCAGTTTTAGGTTCATAGCAAAATTGAGTAAAAGTATAGAAGGTTCCCATACCCTCCCCACCTCCACGTATACCGTCCCCCCCACCATCAGCACCACACCCAGACGGTACGTTTCTTGTAGCTGATGAGCCTATATTGACACATGGCTATCACCCGAAGTCCACAGTTTACATTACAGTTCACTCTTGGTGTCGAGTTTTGACAACCGTATAATGACATGTATCCATCATTATAGCATCATACATATACATACAGAGTATTTTCATTGCCCTAAAAATCCTCTGTGCTCTGCCTATTCATCCCTCTCCCCCCGCCCCAACCCCTGGCAATCACGGATCCTTTCACTGTCTCCATAGTTTTGCCTTGTCCAGAATGTCATCTAGTTGGAATCATACAGTATGTCGTCTTTTCAGATCGGCTTCTTTTAATGAGTGATATGCCTTTGCATTTCCTCTACGTCTTTTCATGGCCTGATAGCTCACTTCCTTTTAGCGCTGAATAATATTTCATTGTCTGGCTGCGTCACAGTTTATCCACTGACCTACCGAACGACATCTTGATTGCTTCCAAGTTATGGCAATTACGAATAAAGCTGCTATAAACATTCATGGGCAGGTTTTTGCATGGAGATCAGTTTTCAGCTCCTTTGGGTAAATATCAGCAGTATGTATCCAGCGAGTCTGGATCATATGGTTAAGAGTATGTTGAGTTTTGAAGAGACTGCCAAACGGTCTTCTAGAGCGGCTGCACTGCTTGCATTCCTGCCAGCGATGAATGCGAGCTCCTGCTACTCCGATCTTGCCAGCACTTGGTGGTGTCAGTGCTTTGGATTTTAGCCATTCTGCTAGGTGTGTAGCGGGATCTCATTATTTTCAGAGTGTCTTATCTTTAATTTGTATTTGCCGTTACTATGCCAGGGCCCACAGACAATGCACACAGGGGATGTGGGCAGAATTCAAAACAGAGCAGTGATTTGGGGTATTTTCTGCAAAGAATACTGAAAAATGACCAGTCACAGACCTCAGAGAATTGGTAAAAAATGAACCTGTCGATAAGATGTCTGCAATTTTAACCTCTATTCCCCATTCCCAATGCAACATCTCAATTCTCACTCAGGATTTTCATTATAAGGAGGTCAGGTCTGCCAAGACTCACATGATCTATGTGTGCCTGAGAAGAGCTCCTCCCCTAAATAGCTATCAATACATGCATATACAAATACGAGACTGGCAAAACCTCACCAGTAGAGACTCATTTCTTTGAGTGGATCATCTTCAAAGCATTGTTAACATGTACTTTGAAATAGGTGAGATCTTAAGCCACATGTGACAGCTAGTTGGGGACAAAATACTGGGGGAATGGGCTCAGCGTAAGTGTGGTGACAGTGGAAGGAGAAGGCTGAGGGTGCTACCTTGATTTTTAGAAAATCTCAATAACATGCAAACTTAAAAGCTGTCAGTAGCTGCTCAGTGTCAGAAAGTTGCAAAATGTGTGCTGATTCAGTGCCCACCTGCCTGCCTCCATCCTCCTGCCTCTTGTTTTTGTCAAGTCTCTCTCCCTTTTGGGCAATTTAGAGCATAGAGAGCTCTAGAGAATAAGGAACAATGACACACCCACTACCCAGGTTTGTCAAATATTAATGTGTTGCCATGTTTATGTCAGGTTGATTTATTTTCTTTAAAGAAAGAAGTCATCAGAAGCTTTTCCTCCCCACATATACCCACTACCGTGATGTTTGTGTTTATTATTTCTTTGCATGTTTTCACATCTTTACTGTCTATTTGTATACAGGGAAATAATACACATTTTTACAACGTGGCAATATTATATATGCATCCTTCTGCAATTTGTTATTTTGTTGTTAGTGACCCCAGTTTCTGAAACGGTGAATGAATAACTCTTGGAAAAGTCCCTCAGAAAACTAAGAAAAATCTCCCATCTAGTTAGTAAATTGCATGCTGGGAAAATTCAGCATATATTAAAATCAGGCAAAGAATACTGTCTTTTTTTTTTTTTTTCTTTTGGCCGCGCCATAAGGCTGGTCAGATCTTACTTCTCCAACCAGGGATCGAACCCCTGCAGTGGAAGCACGGAGTCCTAACCACTGGACCACCAGGGAATTCTGCGTTTATGGGTGAAACTGTGGGACAATTGCTCATTGCATGTTGCAGGGTATCAAGTATCCTTGGGTCCTGCCTACTGAAGGCTACCCTTCCTCTGTCATTCTGACAAATGGAAACACCTTCACATTCCCAAAAGAACCCAGGGGCCAATCTCGCCCCCTTTGGGGTCCACACCTTTAGTAAAATTGTCAGGGGAAGCATGAGCACACCTTCAACTCCACAGGATGAAGCAAAGGCCCCCCAG